ATGAACTTTACACTTGGATGTGTGACTGCATGTTATTGTTTTAAATGAATTTGAATTAAAACGTGTGTGCCAACGAATGCAATTCATTCCAATAAACCCTCTCGTTTTTGCTAAATTAATTCTACCATATTTTACCATTCTATCTGCTCTTCTGTGTGTGTATTTTCCCGTATTTCTCCCGCATTTGTAATGTTTCTATGAAAGGTGAAAGTAGCAGCTACACAGAGTCGATCTCATGTGATATAATTGCAAGAACTGTTTCAGAGAATTAAGCTTTCGCATTATTTTGGATTGACAGCACGATGAAATTGATGTAAAAACGGCCGCATTCACGTCTTTTCCAGTAAAGCTTTATGCGTCTATTGCCGCCCTTATGGAGCCTCTGAATCAGTATAACGGTGCTGAGTGACGGACGCGCTACATAGTGATAAAGACGGCTTCTATACACACGATTTGAAGATGCATGAAAGCGGATACTTTGAGATTCGAGTGTGTGAACAGACAAACACACTTAATAATATGTAAAAATGTTTTGTTTTAAATACAACTAGTGTTATGTTAAATTAGCATAAACAAAACTAATTGTCATTGCATTTATGTTAAGTAAAAGCCCATGCAGAGACTGAGTGGGGATAATGAATAATTCATTATATGGCAGCCCATCGCTCCCAAAAACATTAGAAGTTGATTAAAAGTATGGTAATAATAGTGTGGGTTAAGCTTACCAATCCCTTATCATCCAATTTGTCATGGCAGTTTTCATTTTAAGGCATTGTTTGTTCTCTTTTTGTTTTCTATTTCGCGCTCCACGTCTCTTTACTTTTCTCTCCATTTTGTACATGTGACTGTAACCGAGCAACGGATCAATCAAAAGGTCAACGAAGAGGGAGGAGTGGTATAATTTTGTATTCAATAAAATACAATTGTATATTCATATAAAATGCATGATAAACATTTTTTTCAACCAAAAAGCTGCATTTATTTTGTTTAATATGTATAATAACATGCATAATTTCAAAAATAGTTTTGGCACAATGGCGCCCCCCCCATGTGTGGCACCCCTATGCGCCGCATACACTGCATACCCCCTTTTTGCGCCACTGTCTTCAGCTTCTGGCACCTAGACTGCAGCTCTGCACAGGAAGTTTGGCCAGAGATGAACTGGTCGTGCTCAACTGAGCCTGATTTCTCTCAACGTTTTTGGTGAAATGTTGGAGAAATTTGTTCTTCACCGCTGTCGCCACTGGCTTGCTTGGTTTGAGACTTGTGGAGCTGCTCATGGATGGATTTGCTCTTCAGTGTTTGGACTTTCAGAAGTGAAATTTAAACCACACTGAACTGAACTGAACTTCAACTCTGACACGGTTTTAATTTACTAGAACTTCTATATTAAGCTGCTTTGACACAATCTACATTGTAAAAGCGTTATAGAAATAAAGACTATTTTAATTTAAACATTTTACTCGCCGCCATCTTTGAAACTCCTCTCAGCTATGCAAATGCAATCTCTTTGAATGTGGAAACATCGAAATCTAGCTGTTTGCTAAACTTACGATTAAAATCCATATTTGTTTCATAACTAAAAACATAAGATTACAGCATGTTTGTCGAACCCAAGCAGTTCACAACAATGAAGCTGCAGAAACTGTCATAAAGAACACACTTCTGGACTGAGCTCCTCCCCCAAAGAATCCTCAGTCTATACCGACTGATGATTGGCTCCTTTACTTGAAGGCGGGGCTTCCTTCACTAGAACGGCCATGTTGCATTTACATTGGCAATGCTTCGTAACCAACAATGAGTTCTGGGTAGTTAGTAGGATATTGCTAGGGTGTTTTAATTGGTTGCTAGTGTATTGTCAGAGCATAGATTCTTTTATATGTAGTTGCCAAGCAGTTGCTAGCTGGTTGTGTGTTATGTGGCCTCTTGTGCATTGCGATTGCTGTTCTATTGTAAGTGGTTGCTAGGACAGTACAAGTTGTTCTGTAGATCAATACCTAAAATCACATCAACTGTACTTTAACTAGTAGTTTATCTACAACCATGGCTTTATGTCTTGACTTCGAGCGTGTAAACGTTCATGCAGATGCGTTACGCACAAACTATTTCAAGTTCACACACAATAAAAAGAGATAAGATCACACCCAGCACACTTTCATGGTGCATCAACAGCGGGTTTTGAAGAGACGGGCCTGTGGATGTCCCAAAGGGGAGTTCATTTAATTTGTCAGCGGGCTTCTGGCCAGCACTCTGTTGTTTCCTGTTGAATTGTGTGTAGTCTCGCTGCGCTCGGGTTGCTGTGCTTTGTTGATGTTTGTTCTGTTATAGATCCTCAAAGCTCCATCTTGCCTTTCCCAAAATGCAGAACAACAAACACGAGACAATGGAGACCGTATCTCTGAGGACAGACGGGTTAGATATTGAAGAATTAATGGTCGTTTGAGGGTGGGTTGAAGGATTGTGGCTTATTAAAAGTCTTCAAATGGGCTGTTCGTTTTTATTAGTGTCAGAGTTTTTCATTTGTTACTGTTAGTTTGTTCATTTGTTGTTGAAGCACATTTGTTTTTATTTTGGGAAACGTTTACTTTCATCTCACTACATTTCTAACTTGTAATCAAAATGCATACGAATGAATTACAGATCTGGTTATAGTGAGTCTCCGGTTAATGATTCACTGATTCAAATTAACCCATCAGATCAAATCTCAACTTACAATCTAACTGATTGAAATGATCTGGTCAGAGCAAGTTTCCAGGTAATGATTCACTGATTTAAACGATCTGGTCAGGATGAGTCTCCAAATTATGATTCAATGATTCAAACGATCTGGTCAGAGTTAGTTTCCAGTTTACAACTCACTGATTTAAATAATTTGAACAGAGTGAGTTTCCAGATGATGATTTACTGATTCAAATGATCTTGTCAGGGTGAGTCTCCAAATTATGAATCACTGATTCAAACGATCTGGTCAGAGTAAGTCTACCGATAATGATTTACTGATTCAAATGATCTGAAATAATTTGATCCAAATAACTGATCCAAATAATTTGAACAGAGTAAAACTCCAGATAATGATTCACTGATTTAAATGATTTGAACAGAGCAAGTCTCCAGTTAACAACTCACTGATTCAAATAGTTTGAACAGAGTGAGTCTCCAAACAGTGAATCACTGATTCAAATTATCTGAACAGAAAGAACCTCTAGTTAATAATTCACTGATTCAAATAATCCTATCAGTGGAAGGCTGCACACAATGATTCACCGATTCATATAATCTGAACAAAGCAAGCCTCCAGTTAACAACTCACTGATTAAAATAAGCTGAACTAAGTGAGTCTCCAGATAATGATTCACTGATTTAAATGATCTGAACAGAGCGAGTCTCCAGTTAACAAGTCACTCATCCAAATAATTTGAACAGAGTGAGTCTCCAGATAATGATTCACTGATTTAAATGATCTGAACAGAGCGAGACTCCAGTTAACAACTCACAAATCCAAATAATTTGAACAGAGTGAGTCTCCAGATAGCGATTCACTGATTCAAATAATCTGAACAGAACAAGTTCGCTAGTTAACAACTCACTGATTCAAGTAATATAACCAGAGTAAGTCTCCAGATAATGATTCAGTGATTCAAATGGTCTGAACAGAGCAAGTCTCCAGTTAATAACACACTGATTCAAATAATCTGGTCAGAGTAAGGCTCCAGATAATGATTCACTGATTCAAATAATCTAAACAGAACAAGTCTCTAGTTAACAACTCACTTATTCAAGTAATCCAACCAGAGCAAGTCTCTAGATAAAGATTCAGTGATTCAGATGGTCTGAACAGAGCAAGTCTCCAGTTAACAGCTCACTGATTCAAATAATTTGAACAGAGCAAGTCTCCAGATAATGATTCACTGATTCAAATGAGCTGAACAGAGCAAGTCTCCAGTTAACAGCTCACTGATTCAAATAATTTGAACAGAGCAAGTCTCCAGATAATGATTCACTGATTCAAATGAGCTGAACAGAGCAAGTCTCCAGTTAACAGCTCACTGATTCAAATAATTTTAACAGAGCAAGTCTCCAGATAATGATTCACTGATTCAAATATTTCGAACAGAGCAAGTCTCCAGATAATGATTCAGTGATTCAGATGGTCTGAACAGAGCAAGTCTCCAGTTAACAACTAACTGATTCAAATGATCTGAACAGAATGAATCTCCAGTTAAAAACTCACTGATTCTTATTTTATTTTTTACAAACACATCTTAAAAATATATTTATTATATATCATTCTGCAAGAAAATATAAAGGGTCAGAGTAAGTCTCCAATTAACAATTCATTGATTCAACTGATTCGTTCAAAGTACCAGAGCAAGTCTCCAGATAAAGATTCAGTGATTCAGATGGTCTGAACAGAGCAAGTGTCCAGTTAACAGCTCACTGATTCAAATAATTTGAACAGAGCAAGTCTCCAGATAATGATTCACTGATTCAAATGAGCTGAACAGAGCAAGTCTCCAGTTAACAGCTCACTGATTCAAATAATTTTAACAGAGCAAGTCTCCAGATAATGATTCACTGATTCAAATATTTCGAACAGAGCAAGTCTCCAGATAATGATTCAGTGATTCAGATGGTCTGAACAGAGCAAGACTCCAGTTAACAACTAACTGATTCAAATGATCTGAACAGAATGAATCTCCAGTTAAAAACTCACTGATTCTTATTTTATTTTTTACAAACACATCTTAAAAATATATTTATTATATATCATTCTGCAAGAAAATATAAAGGGTCAGAGTAAGTCTCCAATTAACAATTCATTGATTCAACTGATTCGTTCAAAGTGAGGTTTAATATTCCAACAAATAACATAGAGGTGTTACATTTAAAATATCTATAATAAACGTTTAATATGGTACGCGTGCATTTGCTCAAATACTTGATTTATGTAATTAGCACACCAGTGGGTAGTAAATATACAGACAGGTTTAAAGACTCACTGGCTAACTGGAACAGAGCAGCGATGGCCTCCTCCCACCACTGAGAATCCTGGGTAATGTGGCTTATCTCCAGTAACCCAAACAGGAAGATTAGCTGACCCACGGTCAGAGCCACCGTAGCCATCAGGTTACATGCCCGCATCATGTCAAACTGAACTGCAATCAGAGAAACAGAAATATGATCACTCGCATGGCCTTTACATGATTTTAAGCTCATCTGAGTAAAGAGAGAGATAGAGAGATAGAGAGAGAGAGAGTGTGTGTGTGTGTGTGTGTGTGGTAGAGGATCTGAATCATTGTAGGGAAGATCCAGCTGCAGATGTGCACAAGACAACTTTGCCAACGTGGGTGTCACTTCCCGAAAGCCACAATCCTTCACTGTGTCCATCCGTTTCCTAGTTCTAAATCAGGAGAGATGGACAGACGTGCCAAGCTGCATGCTAAAGGCTGACAAATCTCTGCTTGCTGTTTCTTCTAGTGATAGTTGCCATGGTTTAATACAAGCCAGACATCTAAGGTAATGCCAGATTCAATTTAAAAATAGTTCTAGACGCCTCCTTTGTTTGTGGAGTCTCTAGAGCTCAGATTTAAGGAGAATTTATTTGATTTATCTTTAATATAGGATTTTAGGGCATCCAAATGAAATGCACTCATGCAATGATAACACATTTTGGCAGGTTACTGATTATTGCTCATTTCTACAATTGTATTATTAATGTGGCACAGTTTGAAAATCTTGAAATGATTCCATATAATGTAAAATTCTATATTCATTTGATTTAAATTGGTAATTAAAGATGTAAATTGATATCAAATATGTGTTGTTATGGGAAGAGAAATGGTCTAATAGCCATCTTTGGTAACACTTTAATTGAAGTAACAATTCTCACTACCTACTGACCCATTACCTGAATATTATTTTAGATATTAGGCTGTTTATTGTTCATTTTAAAGTATATATTTTGCATAATCTTATTTGCATCCATAATCCCATTATCTAAACTTATTCTAACTGTTAAGAAGCAGCAAATTATAAGTTTATTGAGGTAAAAGTCATAGAATAGTTTCAAGAATCATAGCTTAAAAAATAATTGTGGTTCAATTTTTTTTGGGGGGGGGGAATGTTATCAAACCTTTATAGAATAAAATTGCCATTTTCCTCAAATCCAAATACCTAAATCCAAATAAATGTCAATATTGATGATTGAAAATAACATGATTTAAGTAACTGTATTAATTATTGAGTAATTATATTAAACATCAAATAAGTAAATTCTTAGTTTTAGTACCCTAAAATGTGAAATAATAGTTGACATTTTCTATTTAGAAATGATTTTTTTAATAAAATGCATTATAAAAGGGACACTTCGTCCAAGAATTAAAATTTACTCACACCAATAGGTTCCAAATCTCTATGAGTGTCCTTTTTCTGTTATAAAAGAAGTTTTGAAAAATGTGACAAACCTGTAACCATTGATTTCCATAGTAGGAAAAATAAATTCTATGGAAGTCAATGGTTACACATTTCCAACATTTTTCAAAACATTTTGTGTGTGTGTGTGTGTGTGTGTTCAACAGAAGAAAGTAAAGCAGGTTTGTGACAAGTGAAGGGTGACTAAATAATGACACAGTTTTCAGTTGTGGATGAACTATCCCTTTAAGTATTAAGCTTTTCAGTTGTTTTAGTAATGTAAAGGTCATTGGTGCGTTTAAGTCTTAATAGGCTGCTTCAGACCTTGCGAATGTGCTATTTACAAATGATCTTTTTATTAAAATGCATTATAAAAGGAATACTTCAGCCAAAAATGTACATGTACTCACCCTCAAGTGGTTCTAAACCTTTATGAGTTTCCCTTTTCTGTTAGACGTAAAATAAGATGTTTTGAAAAATGTTACAAAGATATAACAATTGACTTCCATAGTAGGAAAAATTTATTCTATGGAAGTCAATGGGTACACATTTCCAACATTTTTAAAAATATCTCCTTTTGTGTTCAGCAGAAAAAAAAGAAACTTAAAGATACAGGGTTTGTGACAAATGAAGGGTGACTAAATAATGACAGTTTTCATTTTTGGGTGAACTGTCTCTTTAAGTATTAAGCTTTTCTGCGGTATTTAGTAGTACATATGATTTATCAGTGCATTTAAAACTATTAGATTTCTTCAGAGCTTGTAAATGTTCTATTTACAATTAACTTTTTAATAAGATGCATTATGAAAGGGACACCTCACCCAAAAATAAAATTCACTCACACCAATAGGTTCCAAATCTCAGAGTTTTCTTTTTCCTGTTGGACACAAAAGGAGATATTTTAAAAAATGTTACAAACATGTTACCATTGAGTTCCATAGAAAGAAAACAAATTCTATGGAGGTCTATGGTTACACGTTTACAACAGTTTTAAAAATATCTCAAAATTTTCAAAATTTTGTTCAACAGAAAAACAAGTAAACAGGGTTTGTGTAAACAAATGACACAGTTTTCAGTTTCGGGTGAACTATCCCTTTAAGTATTACAGTTTTCTGCTGTATTTAGTAATATAAAGGTCATTGGTGCATTTAAATCTATTGGAGTGCTTCGCAGCTTGTTAATGTTCTATTTGCAATTATCTTTTTAATAAAAGGCATTATAAAAGGCACACTTGACCCAAATATGAAAAAGTACTCGCCCTTAAGGGGTTCCAAATGTCTATGAGTTTACTTTTTCTGTTGGACACAAAAGAAGATATTTTGAAAAATGTTGGAAATCCATAGTAAGATAAACAAATTCTATGAAAAGTCAATGGTTACACATTTCTAACATTTTTCAAAATATCTTCTTTTTTGTTCGACAGAAGAAAAGTAAACAGGGTTTGAGACAAATGAAGGGCGTGTAAACAAATGATTTCAGTTTTCAGTTTTGGGTGAACTATCCCTTTTAAGTATTACACTTTTCTGCTGTATTTAGTAATATAAGGTTCAATCAGTTCAGTTTCCTTTATTTTGTCACTTAGAACATCACAGTATGCAATGCAGAACGTAGTGCTTTTATCAGTTAGTGCATTTAAATCTATTAGTTTGTATTAGGGCTGCACAATATATCGTTTCAGCATCGATATCGCAATAAGAGCATTTGCAATAGACACATTGCAGGATCTGAATTGTGGAATTAGGATTATAGTCTAGTAAATATTGAAAAAAAAAAAAAGGTCCCACTTTATATTAAGTGTCCTTAACTACTATGTACTTGTATCAAAAAATAAATACTTGTACTTATTTTGTTCAAAATATATTTGAGTACACTTGTGGTGCTCTTAAGTTGGGATAGGAGTTGGGTTATGAACAGGTTTGGTGGTGTGGGTAGGTTTAAGGGTGGGTTAAGGTGTAAGGGATGGTCAGCAGTGTATTTACAAATGTAATTACAGAAGTTAAATACAGGTGTAGTTACATGCATGTATTTAATCAAGCATAAGTACACAGTAGATAAATGTATTTACACAATAAGTACATTGTAACAAACTATTCATTCTTGTGTAAGTAAATATCAGTTAAGGCCACTTAATATAAAGTGGGACCTAAAAAAAAATAACAACGTGATTTATTGTTCCACTTTGAAGTAACTCCACAAATGTACCAAAAATTGCATATATTTTATGGTCTGTGTCTGTGAAAGCATTCCAAGAAGGTTTTAAACATTTTGGGCACAACAGTTTGTATTGTTTGTGACTTAATGAAATCTTAATAAAGCTTATACAGTGCAGTGTTATTTTACATTGTGATAATTCAGTTTATGTACCTGAATACTTCCAGACTCCCAAAAAACTGTAAAGCACCGTTTATTTCATTTGTTCCTTTGCTACCGCATCTATCAGTGCTTGTGATTTTGGTTTATTGTATTTCATCCAGATGTGCTGGCCTACACAAAATATCCCAATCAATCTTAAATTACATATTCCTTTTAAACTGAGACATTTGAGTCATCTGGTGAAGTTGTCCTCCCAGGGCTTGAGTGTCCACATACATGGACAGCACATTTTTAGCTCTTACGTGGCTATTTAAAATACTTTGAATGTTTTATATTTTGTTACAGACATACAGTGTCATCCTGCAACTATTTTGCAGTATATGAAATGTCCCAAACACTATATTTAACTGTCCAAAATGCGGGAAAATGTTGTTTTTACTGTCTGATAGTCAAAGCAAATTCAAAAAAAAAAATAATAATAATTCTATGTTAAATTTGCATAAAACATTTTTTAGGAAAGTTTATTGTAAATTGGGACCAGGAGTCCACATATATGGACATCATTTTTCTCTAAAAGTACATTGTATCAAAAGATGATACTTTCCAATAAGCCCAAATAGCAAAGACATTTAAAAAATGCATGTAAAAAAACACATCGGGCCTTAAGAGGTCTTACTCAATATTGCAATGTCAGTTTTTTCATGCAGCCCTATCTTGTAATGGACATGTAGACCTTGCTATGCATCCCAGAGACTCACGTTTGACTGTGCTGCGAGACTCCTGGTACCCCGCCAGCTCTGATCCCCAGCTCAGTCTCTGGCAGGCTGTGAGTTCATGAGTGTGTGTATCCTCCTGCACACATGCTCTCCAGAGCCCAACGCTGCGACGCCGTCCGTCGTCCAGCACCTGCAGCACCCAGCCGGAGCTGAACGTCGCCACGCTATTGAGCACCAGAGATAGCAGGGCAACCGCCGCCGCCAACTCCACCAGTCTGCGCACGGCCATACGCCCCCCCAAAACCCTACACTAACGCTGAGAGACGCTTAGCTAGAGGACATCGCCACTCATTCTTGTGTCGTTAGGTAGTCTCTATCCCTCTTCTTCAGAGTCTGGGCTCGCTCTTAATGCTGGACGCTGGACCTCCAAGGCCATCACACGCTTGCTCAAAATCTCTGGGATTTCTTTCGGAGGTCTTGTTTCCTCCCCCTCGCTCCTGCAGTTGTGCTCTGGGTTGTTTTTTTTGCTGAGATCTCCCTACTGGGAAAGTTGAGGAATGTCTGCGTGATGCCGTCTCTGTGCTGCTTTCCCACACTCGGCGAGCTCAGATTACTCACACTGTGTTTCCCATGTTCACACGCGCGTGTTTCATCCCTGAAAAGCTCAGAAGAAGTGGGATGAGATGGTGGGGTGGACTTGGGAATACTCTCCCTATCTCTCTCTCTCTCTCTCTCTCTCTCTCTCTCTCTCTCTCTCTCTGTCTCGCTTTCTGTGTGTGACAAATACGTCGCTCCATCTACAGGATGTGTTTCCTGGAAGGAAAGCAGACAGAACAGAATGCAACACCCGTCCTCTTTCTCTCTTTGAGATGGTTATTAATGGAGCAGGAGGTGAATTATTGTGTATTTAAGTGCAGCACTGGAGAAGACATGCAGCATTTGTGACATGTTTGAGGAAATATGAATTAGAAAAAAGTTTTGTGAGTTCAAGTACATGCACATCTTGAAAGTATTCCCCATAATGTAAAACATATATACAGTTAAAGTCAGAATTTTTAGCTCCCCTGTTAGATTTTTTCCCCAATTTCTATTAAAAGGAGAGATTTTTTTTCAACACATTTCAAACGGATTTAATAGTCTCTTAATATTAATTCCTAATAGTTAATAAGGATAAAACTTATCTCCCCTGTTAAACTTATTTCTAATAACTGATGTATTTTATTTTTGTCATGATGACAGTAAATAATATTTGACTAGATATTTTTGAAGATATTAGTTTTCAGCTTAAAGTGACATTTAAATGCTTGGTTCCACTTTATATTAAGTATCCTTAACTACTATGTACTTACATCAAAAAATAAATACAATACTGTGTTTATAATGTATTTGAGAACACTTGTGGTGCATTTGAGTTGGGATTGAGGTTGGGTTATGGACAGGTTTGGTGGCGTGGGTAGGTTTAAGGGTAGGTTAAGGTGTAAGGGATGGTCAACAGTGTATTTACAAATGTAGTTACAAAAGTTAATTACAGATGTAACTACATACATGTATTTAACCAAGCATAACACAATCAATACATGTATTTACACAATAAGTACATTGTAACAAACTATTGATTACTGTGTAAGTACATATTAGTTAAGGCCACTTAATATAAAGTGGGACCACAGGCTTAATTAGGCAAATCATTTTAAAGCAGTAGGGCCAAATAATATTGACCGTAAAATGGTTATAAGACTTCTTTTATTCTAGCCAAAATAAAACAAATAAGACTTTCTCCAAAAAAAAAAAAAAAAAAAAAAAAAAAAATATATATATATATATATATATATACGGAATACTGTGAAAATTTCCTTGCTCTGTTAAACATCATTTGGAAAATATTTAAAGAAGAAAAACAAATTCACAAGAGGGCAAATAATTTGTAAAACCTGTAAACAAAGAGTCGCTGTTATTTTGGGAGGAGATTTCTCTTCAAGAGTTCTGAGTTACTTCAGAAGACCAGCGCGGTCTGACGATCATTATCAAGAGGATGATAATGTGTATAACGGCCATAACTTAAGTTGGTGTCGTGATCTCATTCCTTACAAGTGCGCATGCGCATTAGCTCGGGCAACCTGAAAATATCCTTATTTTGTTTGATTCGATTTTGATTAAGAAATGAAACTACACTGAAAAAAATGATTCAATGATGAATTGCTAAATTTGTTTAGGTTGTTGTAAACTATTTATTTGGGCTGAATTTAAACAATCAAATTAAGTTGAACATTACTCAATTTAATTTGTTTGTTTAAATTCAACACATAAACCGTTTGCAACAATTTTACAGACATCATTTTTTTTGTAATAAGTCAGTTGTTGTTTCATTTTATTGGTGATAGCAAATATGTAATGTAATCATAAGCGTGGCAAACAGTTTTGGAGAATTAGATTTTTCCCCATTGAAACAGAACGCCTCACTCTAAAAAATATCGTTATACAAAACAAAACAAATTGACGCAACAGTTTGCATTAGTATATTCAAGTTACGACAACATCTAACAAAAGTTAGATGAAGTACACACAACAAACAACAAACTTTATTATGTTAGCCAACTCTTTTCCTCTTCAAGCAGAGGCATTTTTACATAGCAAAAACCTCAAATATTTAAGCTGAGTACTCAAAAAATAAGTTGTTAAAATTAAAAGTTGAAAATTTAAATTGAAAACAAATCCAGTGTAATGTGCTTAATTACATGCATATTTTTAAGTTTAGAACCTCAAATAAATGAAGTATCTGAAATTGTTTAATTTTTTGTTTGTTTTCACGTTTACTGTTCATGCTTGTAAGTAATACATTTAACAACAACATTTTTGTTTTCCGGTAAATTTTTTTGGTATTAAACCACAGGTTTTTATTGTTCTACAAAACAAAAACATGTACTGTCCCATATTACCAATATAAAAAATATATAAAAACATCAGTCTGTGGACTTCAAAATACAAAACAACTCCATTAGTGTGGAAAAATTTCTTTGGGTTGCTACAAGTTAAACGTTGTTTTAAAGTAACTGACAGATATATTTAACTTTAAATTAGCCGCATTTTTAAATTGATGTAATTATCAATATTTTCCTGCTTTAAAAACTGAATAAAATTATTCAGGCAGCTTAAAAGTTTTTATCTTATATTATATATAGTCTTTTATCAGCATTTTTGAATTTTTAAGTTACAATAATGTATTAAACCATGTAGTGGTTACAGACCTCTTGAGTTATTTTTTAGAGTGAGATGGCTGCCGAGTGAAATGACTAACTTTAAAGTGACTTTGGTTTAATTAACATTTGTCAATATTAACTAGTAGTTTATTACCCGTCTATTATTAATATATTGGCTTTTTATTAGTGCTTGTAAAGCACATAGTCTGCATAATCTTACTCTACACCCCCCAATCCTACCCTATATCTAAACTACCTTAATAATAACTAATTACTAACTCAATAATTGCTAAAAAAAAGCAGCAAAATGGGAGTTTATTGAGGCAAAAGTCATAGTTTTATTAATAGCAAGAATTGAATCTTAAAAGGAAGTGTGACAGGTATGTAAAAAAAGAATGGTTTCAACTAAATCAAAATGGCGGACAGGAAGTTTGGCAAATTATGGCATAATTGGTATCTGTGTTGTCGGCAGGACTCAAGAAATAATTTGAGACCAATTTCATCAAAATAAGCATATGCAGGCAGAAGTAATTTCCAAATTTGTAAGTTTTATCAATAATGTTGTCAATATTTTTATTAACTTGATGTCATTATCTTTAACTATCGCAGAGAGACAGTTTAGCATCATGCCATCATATTTGTCAGTGCAGTAAAAAAAAAAAACCTGTTACACCTATCAACACAAACTCCATAACGTTTTGTCAGTCTGAAGATGGTCGAACTCAAATTTGGTGCAGATCAGCTAAACAATGTGGGAGGAGTTGAAGCAAGATGGTGGACAGGAAGTTCAGTAAATCCAGACATAATTGGTATTGATATTCTCAGGACAACTCAAGGAATTTGTTAAAAGTCTATTTATACTAAAACTATTTACAGAAGGGCGAGTGGACGAAATATTAATAAATAGGCATGAAACTAAGGTTTTTATAACAGAATGCAGTTAGTTAAAAATATGTTGAAAAAATGGACATTAAAATATGTGGCTAAGAAATAACTATTTGGATTTTTCTATTTATTTATTTATTTTTATTTCATTGGATCAACTGGACCATTACAAAAAAAATCAAAAAGTGTTTAGCTCTGTATAAGTTTACAACTTCATTTATAATGGTCTTAAAAAGTCTATAAAATTCTTAAATTTGACTTGATGAAACCTGCAGAAAGCCAGCTTTCTACTTTGCTCGTTCTTTCTCAGTTCTGGGCCCCCAAAGATTCAGGGAATTTCCTGTTGCCCAACTCTAATAAACAGCCCACATCTGTATCTACTAAAGCCGAACGCAGCGAGAAAGCAGGAGAATGAGTGGATTTTGGATAAATGAAGTCCAGATGGGAGTGGATGAAGAAAGGAGGGAGGGCACGAAGGGGCAGGCGAGTGGGAGAGCAGGAATGTGGAGGAGAGCGTTCGGTGTTGATCGGGTCATTCCTTGCATAGCTCAGACCATTCGCTCATGAGGACGAACAGCAGAAACACCCAAAGTGCAGCTGCTTTGTGTTCAAGTGCAAAAGAAAGAGTCTTTGAAGATCATTGTGAACACACTCTCGCACCCTTTTAAGGTGGATTTCACGCTTCATGTTGTGCAGCCTTTAAAAAAGGAATATTTGTCAGTAAAAGCTGATTATAACACATATTCATTTATTTATGATCTACATCAGGGCTAATCAATTAGTTTGTCATGGGGGCCAGTTCATGAAAAGCATCCCAAATGAGCGGCAGGAGAGATATGATTTGCAATATAAGTGATGACACAATAGCAATATAAAAGCCCATATGTTGTATTTTTGCTCCTTAGAGCAGGCATTCCCAAACTTTTTTATTCTGGGACCCACCTAGGCAAGTAATTCAATCTCTAGAGCCACCATAATATTTTAATATGGAAAAATGGGTAAAAATTGCATCCATTCAAAGCAGTCAAAAATATATTGTGTGTGGCTTTTTGGATTTTGCGATTTGAAATGCACAAAATGAGGCTTGAACTGCTTTTTGTGGGATGCTGGCTGTAACTGATATTTTTTTGCTGAAAAAGATACTCTTCGTTTTTTAGAAGAGAATACGATCAACCTTTGATCAAGCCCCTTGATTATGATCAAGCCCCGTCACATCGCAGTAAATTCCACTGCTGGTGTAGTCATAAGAAACTAAATCGCTTTTTGATCGACTACTACAAGCTGGGAAAAGGTCAGATAAATATGCCAATGCAATTAACGATATCGCTGAATAGATCTAATATTTACACATTTGCTTGAGGAAGGAATGATGGGGGTAGTTACATTACTATTACTATTTTCCATAACATCTATGCCCTTCCATAACATTAGCTGACGTTAAAACTAACTGATCGCACTATAGCTATTTATTAATTAGCAATCTGTCAATGTTGGGATGTAAAAAACACGGGACAACAAATAGCTTCAAATGATAGAATACATAGCAAACATTAGAAAATATTGACAATAAAGTAAAAGGTTTAGCCTATTAAAATCAATGGCCTATCCAGAAATTAAATACAGCTATCAAATCTATTTCACTTTTGTATTTGCATATTGATTAAAGTTACTATAGTTATTTAGTGAAGAGCAGCAAATGAATCTCTCATTGTGTTTTGTTTGATAGGAGTTAATGTTAGAATGCAAAGATCTATAATGAAAGCATTCGACTACTTTAGTAACTGTTTGTGCTCATTTAAGAGAAAATTAGTAGTGTTTAAAATAAAACCTGCAGGACGCAAAAAAAAAAAAAAATGGAAAAACAAGAAGCACTTTTCCGACGGTCCCTTACTGAGAGCTCCGCTCAGCGCGAGCTCTACCGGCTAAACGCAGATTGCGAGGGCTCAAACGGAGCAGTGCTTGTAATGTTGAGTTATAAAAAAGAAAAAGACAGCTGTGAAACATAACCAGCTTTGTCTTTTTGTAGGAAACACACTTTAGATATTTTTAGGGTAAGAGGTTTTTGAGTTGTTGCCGTCAATCGTACTGGTTTGGATTCACCGCAGTGTAAATATAGCTGCAGCTATGTGACGTTGCACGACCCACCTTTGTTCACTGTGCGACCCACAGTTTGAAAACCCCTGCCTTAGGACACCCACGTTGGCGTTTTCTACTTTAAAACGTTAATATGTTGTGTTTTAAAACTACATAATATCAGTGCATTATACAATAGTTTTATTTTTACATACATGTTAAAATGTTGCATTTCGAAGGCAGCATAACATAATCTACAATTATTTAGAAAATTGATTGAAATAATTGAAACTTAAGCGCACATAACGTAATACGCACTCATTGTACAGTAAACATACAGGTTTAGAACAGACAGATGTAAACAAATACTTCTGTCCATTCGCTGTTGAATTGTGTGTTTTCTGCAACAACATTTCTTTATTTCAAAGTTGAAAGAGACATTTGTCCAACTCAGCTGTTGAATTTCTGAATTACTGAAAAAATACTGAATTTCAGCAGGAGGGCTGATGCTGGACAATTATGAAAATGATAGATTTTTACACTGATTTACAAGATGTTTAGTTTTATGTCCAAAAGTCTTGTCAGTCACACAGTACACACAATAGTTTTTTTTATTGCTTCAACAAAGGAATTGATTAACAACTGGCAGGCCCGGATTAGGAACTCAGGGGCCCCTGGGCACATTGTCTTGTAAGGCCCCCTGCCTGGCCGCACCCCTATAGTTGAATTAATAAAATAAGAATAATATAATAATTTTTAAATAAAATGAACCCATAATTTGTTGCCCACATGTTTAAATAAATGATATATAGTACATATGTATTTATAGTCTACAACGATTTAACTTATTTTTCAAAGCATAAAAATAAGTAAAAATACTAATATAACTAGTGAAAATTAATGTTTTTTAGTATACTTGTTCAAATTCACTAAAATAGTACTATATATAATATAGTACTATTATATATATATATATATATATATATATATATATATATATATATATATATATATATATATATATATTAGGGATGTAACGGTATCAGAATTTCACGGTACGGTAATACCTCGGTATGAATGTCACGGTACGGTATTTATTGAATCATTTACAGGAAAAACAAAACTTTTGAAAATACTCCAAAAAAGTGCCAAAAGTGTCAATGACACACAAATTAGCCATCTATCTGTAAGCTTTGAAACAGGAACTTCAATTTTAATAACAAAAAATTATTAAACCATGTAAAAAAATAAAGTTTCAATTTAGTATTGTTGAAAACTCATCACATTCAACATTTAATCACTCATTCACTTAGATAGAGATGGGTTTAAAGGAAAATTATCATATAACTATAATCTGGTAAAAGCCGGTATCTCTGGGTATTTACAATGTCCCCTGCAACAGAAAAAAACCCTCTCATTTGGGACTGAGGATTCTGGGACAGAGATATGACTTGGCCCATGTTGACAGCAGTGGGTAACGTTGTGCATTGTCTTTCCCCCACTTGAGAAGACAAACCATGAGTGAGATAGAGATCTCTTTGCGGTACAAGTGAATGTCTGCATCAATCTGAACAGTGTGCTGTGTTTCTGCAGTCCCCATGACTGCTATTAGTCGTATTCCCCAACTTGCAGGCACGTGCACACATAGGGCTCAACCTGTGCAGTGCACATGCCCTTTTTAGTCTTGGATAGAAAGTGCCCTTCCAAAACGATCAAAAGTGCCCCCGCGACGTGACACAACCTCCGTCCAGCCCTTCAGTAGACAACACCGCTCGAGTATGCGCGCTCAACCCCCCCTCGGCGCTTTACAATACGCGCGCGACAACACACCTGATCAGAACGCGCGCGACAACACTGCTATTCAGTACGCGCGCGGCGACAACACCCGCTTTAGTTGTCTGATCAATATGGTTTTTACAGAGAGGGAGGCACCTTTATTAAGGCTATACATTATTAAATACCCACAAGGCGCTTGTGACTTTACATCACATTTGCATTATTTATTAAAAATGTTTCCTTCCTGTTAAAAATAAATTTATTTCCAATCTAATATGTTAAGGGGAGAAAAAAAGTAGCACAAGTTCAGCTGATGGTGGATTCGAACCGGGTTGATCAATCGCGTCAAAAGATGTTGCTGTGCGTTTTACGAGGTGCGCCACTGAGGCTGTAATTCTGACTTACTCTTTACTCATGTTGTTTATGTCAATCAGGCACCTACAGGCGTAAACCGTGAACAGCTTATTTCAACTAGGTGCACTATTTGCAACTAGCCTAAAAAGACACTACGAAATAGTCTTTTTTTTTCTCCCCTCTCGCAGGGGCTCCAAGTGCGCATGGGCCCCTGGGCCTGTGCACATAAGGCCCATTGGTTAATCCGGCCCTGACAACTGGTTTGTCTTCAGAGATTTATCACTTACTGTTAAAAACACATTTAGAAAACAACAGTTGTCACTTCCCTAACCAACAGATGTGCTCTTGAGAATTTGTGAATTTAAAACCACACTAAAGTTCCTTGTGCTATTTTGAAATGAATGAATGAAATGAATGTTTTGCCATGTTGTGTGTGTTCATGTGTGCATCTCCAGTGAGGCAGTGTGGGAGAACATGGCTCGTATGTGTGTAAAAAGTCGTCGTCTGGACGTGGCTCGTGTGTGTCTGGGCAACATGGGGAATGCACGGGCAGCTCGAGCTCTCAGAGATGCTGAAAAAGAGCCGGAGGTGGAGGCGCAGGTGGCTGTTCTGGCTACACAACTCGGCATGCTGGTGAGAAACAAAAACACTTACTGAACAATGACATAAACACATCATTGAATAGATCTATTGATACCTAATATTTCCATGTGGTCATTCAGTCAGGTACTGACCAGACTGAAGGTCAGTTAGGTTGCTTATGAAAGTGGTGTTAGTGAGGCCAGCAGATGGCGCTCAACCTGCTGTCTGTGTGAGTCCTAATGCCCCAGTATAGTGAAGGGGACACTATACTGTCAGTGAGCACCATCTTTTACATGAGACAATAAACTGAGGTCATGACTCTCTTTGGTAATTAAAAATCCCATGGTACTTCCTGTAAAAGAGTAGGGGTGTAACCTTGGTGTCCTAGTCAAATTCCCTCCATTATCCCTTACCTATCAAAGTCTCCAAATCACACCCATCCACTGATTTGGCTGTATCACTGTCTCTCCACTCTACCTATAGCTGGTGTGTGGTGATCGCAGTGGGTCCGTTGTCCTTGGGCTAAGCTCTCCAAAATATTATCGAACCTTTGTTTCTTTCTTCTTTTTGACACAAATAATAATGTTCTTTAGACAGCTGAAAACCTGTAACCATCGACTTCCATGGTTGGAAAAACAAATACTATTGAAGTCAGTGGTTGCAGGGTGGTTCATTCCGCCTTGAGAACTCATAACTTAAGTTGAAGGAAAATAAATTAATAAATGGTTACAGGTTTTCAGCTTCCTTCAAAATATCATCCTCTTTGTTTAAAAAAAGAAAGAAAGAAACTTTCAAGAACAAGACAAGGTTTGGAACAAGTGCAGGTAAGAAAATAATGAGAAAATTTTTTTTTTGGGTGAACTATTACTTGAATGTCTTTTGCCTGCATCATTAATGCCAGTAAGGAAAGTTTATCAATATGTTCACCAATGTAAATTAAATAACTTTTTAATAGTGAGGCGCAGCAAGTAAAATAAGTGTTTTTTTCATGCACTGTTTAATTTAGTGTTTTTTAGTCCAATGTAAAGAATATATGTGTAAGTGTTTTTGTCACTCTTTGTCATTTTCCTTCTGTAGATTTTAGTTAAAAACTTAAAATTTATTTCGTTCATTAATTTTCACTTCACGGTTTTATTAATATCTGTATTCTGAAAGTTTTTTTTGTACAAAGGAATTTGTTCATAAATAATTTGTCTGGTTATAATAGCTGTAGCATAAATTAACATTTTATTCTAAAAACATACCCAAACTATGTTAGAAAATCTTTTGTTGTTGTTGTGTTGTCAAATATACAGTTGAGGACAAAATTATTAACTCTTCTGTGAAATATTTATTCTTTCTCAAGTAATAAATAACAGATAAAGGAAAATTTTCACGGCATTTCCTATAATATGTTTTTTTCTGGAGAAATCTTATTTGTTTTACTTCGGCTAGAATAAAGGCAGTATTTATTTGTTTAAAACCATTTAAGGTCAATACTATTATCCCCCTTAAGCAATTTTTTTCCCCGATTGTCTACACAACAAACCACTGCTTTACAATGACTTGCCTAATTACCATAACTTGCCTAATTAACCTAACAAAATTTAAATTCTATAGAGAAAAACAATCTATCAAACAAACCGAAAAAAGGTAAACAATTAAGATGCAGCTAAGAAGTCAAAGGTTGATACTCCAGTAAAAAAAGCTCCAATTTATTTTCGAACACTGAATAGGATTTTCTCAGGGGTGCAGTAAGAAATTAGTTCTTAATGTAATCAGTCAACTGGGGAAGTATGGTGATTCATATTCATTTTCTTTTACTCTATTCACATGTAATGCTTTTCCCAGCACATTTCTAAACATAATAGTTTAATTAACTCATTTCTAATTACTGATTTCTTTTATCATTGCCATGATGACAGTGCATATTATTTGACAAGATATTTTTCAGGATACTAGTATTCAGCTTAAATTGACATTTAAAGGCTTAACTAGGTTAATTAGGCAAGTTAGGTTAATTAGGCAAGTCATTGTATAACAATGGTTTGTTCTGTAGACAATTCAAAGAAATATTGCTTAAGGGGGCTAATAATATTGACCTTAAAATGAGTTTAAAAAACTAAAATCTGCTTTTATCCTAGCCGAAAAAAAAAAAAAAAAACTTTCTCCAGGAGAAAAAATATTATAGGAATTACTGTGAAAAATTCCTTGCTCTGTTAAACATCATTTAGGAAATTAATAAAATAATAAAACAATATTCACAGCAGGGCAAATCATTCTGACTTGAACTCTATATATTACATCTGCGTCACAGTATGGAAGTTGAGTACATTACAAATGACATTCTGTGTGTTTAAAGCACAGTAGCACAAACACTGCGTTATCTAAATAAACCTAGTGCGCTTGGAGCCTCTCTGTCTCATTCAGTACAATAACAGGAGCTAAACATTTGGATTTAAACATCTGGCTTTATCGCAGCATCTCTGTCTCTTTTTCTCTCAGGAGGATGCAGAGCAGTTGTATAAGTCATGCGGGAGGTTTGATTTACTCAACAAGTTTTATCAAGCGGCGGGTCAGTGGCAGCAGGCGGTGGAGACGGCAGAAACACACGACCGCATTCACCTCCGCACCACTTACTACAGCTACGCCAAACACCTGGAGGCCATGGGGGACAAGAACCTGGCGCTGGTGTAGTGAGTGTCACATTCACACACTCATTTTAAGAGAAAAAAAAAGATTTTAATCCGCTTAATCAATACTCTGATTAAGAGTCGACCATGTAAACAGAGATTTTTGATGACTAAAGTCATAATTGAACTAAACAGAAATCATATTAAGACATGTGGAATATTCCTATTTTAGAGGCATTATTTGCAGTACAAACAATTTATCACCACAATCAAACTTTTACCCTTTTCTAGTCATTTTTCGCTAAATTAAAAACAAAACTACCTAAATCACATATGGTGCGATGACGAACAAGCAACTAGCGTTGAATGGTGACGTAATGACATTAATGGAACTACGTACTAATAACATGGGATCATGAAAGGAACCTTCAAAACGCAACTCATGTAAACACCTTTATCATAGTATTGTCCTATTCTGGTCAATGCAGATAATTAGACTTATCATGAATGAGTAGATCCATGTAAACATAGTCACTGATGACGTCATTGATTCAGTAATGCTGCGTTCCTCACAATTCCTTCATGTTTTGCCAACATGAATTGATTATGTTAACTTAATTGTTTTACCCATTTAGGTTTATTGAACATTTGACACTTAATTTATCTAAAAAAAATCTCAAGATTGTAATTGTGTTGATTCAGCTCATTTTAAATAAATAGTTTAAACAAGCAGAAAAACATTTTTTGTTTTGAGTGTAATTTTAAAAATGATGATTCAATAACGTATGTTAAAATAAACAGCTTTGTATTCTCTTTTATTTAGTAGAGGAGTAATAAATGTACATATGTCAATTCATTGTAAATAATTCAATTATGAGCTTCAAAATATTCTATTCTATTCTGTTCTATTATATATATATAGATAGTTGGATAGATAGTTGGATAGATAGATAGATAGATAGATAGATAGATAGATAGATAGATAGATAGATAGATAGATAGATAGATAGATAGATAGATAGATAGATAGATAGATAGATAGATAGATAGATAGATAGATAGATAGATAGATAGATAGATAGATAGATAGATAGATAGATAGATAGATAGATAGATAGATAGAATGTATAAAATAAACAAACAGGGGGGCTAATAACACACACACACACACACAGAATTGTTATCCCCCCTTAACTCTTTTTATTTTTAAAATATTTTCCAAATGATGTTCAACAGAGCAAGGAGATTTTCACAGTATGTCTGATAATATTTTTTCTTCTGAAGAAAGTCTTGTTTTATTTCGGCTAGAATAAAAGCAGTTTTTAGTTTTTTAAACACCATTTTTGGGACAAAATATTAGCCCCTTTAAGCTAATTTGTTTTTTCGGTCTACAGAACAAACCATCATTATACAATAACTTGCCCAATTACCCTAACCTGCCTAGTTAACCTAATATATATATATAGTTATTATTTTTTTATACAGTGTAATTTATTCTGGTTGTGGCAAAACTGAATTTTCATCAGCATTATCCAACTCTTTAGTGTCGTTTGAGCCTTCAAAATCATTTTAATGACAATTACAATAAAACAAGTTTACAATTACAATAAAAAGGTCAAATAAATAAGTATGATAATTAACATATACAGGCAGTTATTGATTAAGAGACCACTTGAACATTCTCAATATATAAATGTTTTCATTTCAAGCATTTACCATTTTTTTACATTTAAAGGGCCATGAATTCAGATGTTCATATTACTCTTCGGACAACACACTGCCAATGTTTTTAACTTCAGAAAAGCAAGCAAAAAAAAAAAAAAGAAAAGAAAAAAAAGAAAAATGGCCAGTTGTAATTTATTTCTGCTCTGAATGTTGGTGAATCCAGTACCGGTGAATCAATGTCTCTTGTAAATCCAGTACATCCAGAAAAAGTGATATTTTTTTGTGGTCTCTTAATTTTTTAAGCTAAAAGTAAATAAAAAAATCTAAATGTGGTTGTGATCTTGTTACTTTTTCTTCTTCTTCAGTTTTGAGAAGTCGGACACACATCGGTTTGAAGTTCCACGAATGTTAATGGAGGATAACGTTTCACTGGAGATTTACATCAATAAAATGAAGGACAAGTGAGTCACTCTGCACAGATGATGCATTACTGTGGCCTCTACGGTCTGACTTTTCTTTAATGTTTCCACTCTCTGTTTGTGATTGGTCAGGGATCTGTATAAGTGGTGGGGTCATTATCTAGAGAGCCAATCAGACATGGAGGCTGCGCTGCATTATTACGACTTAGCTCAGGATTACTTGTCTCAAGTGCGCGTGCACTGCTACCTGGGAAGCATTCAAAAGGTACGTTCAAGTGAATTTCCTTTGTGTCCGAATTAACGTCCACATGAACTGGAAGCTGTGACTGCTTTTTTTCATATTATGACGCAGTTCCCAGAGAAACTGAATATTAAATGAGATTTTTTTTTAAAGTGGGCGGGGCTTGTTTTTGTCTACTGCGAGCTGATTGGATGTAGTAAAGTAGACATTTTATTCAGAAAGATCTAGAAAAGGGTTTGGAAAGAGTTATTACAACCTAACAGACTCCTCATGCTCACCGTTTCTGTTTGTGGTCAAAACTGAAAGCTGGAGGGGCGTGGTTAATATGTAAGCCACGCCCAATACCTTCAGTTTTATCTAAAAAAACAAATAGGAAGTGCATTTTCAGACTTTGTTTCAAGAATACAAAAGCAAACTAGTAAAGTTCATAGACAAACTTTATGGTGGCTTGAGAAAGCCGTGTCTGAAAGTTTGAAGGAGCTTGTGTAAATAACTGAAGTAGTTTTTACAACGTTTGAAACAGTCGGCATAGAGAAGTACACATATTTTAGCTTCTAGTTAGGTTGATGGGGGTTCTGAACGGTTGCTAAGGCGTTGCTAGGGTGTTCTGAGTGCTTGCTAACGTGTTACTAGGTGGTTGCCAAGGTGTTCTGAGTGCTTGCTAGACGATTGCTAGGGTGTTCTGAGTGGCTGCTAGGCAGTTGCTAAGGCGTTGTGAGGTGGTTGCTAAGGCATTGCCTAGGTGTTGGTAGGTAGTTGCTAAGGTGTAGCTAGGGTGTTGCTAGGTAGTTGCTAAGGTGTTCTAGGTCATTGCTAAGGTGTTGCTAGGGGGTTGCTTGGGTGTTTGATTAGTTGCTAGTGGTCGTTAAGTCGTTGCTAAGCGGTTCCTAGAGTGTTGCTGGGTGGTTGCTAAGGCATTGCTAGGCAGTTGCTAAGGTGTTGCTAGGTGGTTGCTAGGGTGTTCTGAATGCTTGTTAGGCAGTTGCTAAGGTTTTGCTAGATGGTTGCTAAGACTTTGCTAGGTGGTTGCTGAGGTGTTGCTCGGCAATTGCTAAGGCATTGATAAGCGGTTGCTAAGGTGTTGCAAGATGGTTGCTAAGGTATTCTGAGTTGTTGCTAGGCAGTTGCTAACATTAGCAAGGTTCTAGTATGAATTAGCATCATGCAAGCTTGTTTTTAGCATAAATTAGCATGTTGTTAGCATGAATTAGCACGTTGCTACCATGTTTGCATTATGAATTAGCATGTTAGCATGAATTTAATATGAATTAGCATGTTTGCTAGTATGTTTCCAGTATGGATTGGTATGTTAGTCTGCGAGCTGATTGGATGTAGTAAAGTAGACATTTTATTCAGAAAGATCTAGAAAAGGGTTTGGAAAGAGTTATTACAACCTAACAGACTCCTCCTGCTCACCATTTCTGTCTGTTGTCAAAACTGACAGCTGAAAGGGCGTGGTTAATATGTAAGCCACGCCCAATACCTTCAGTTGTAACTGAAAACAAACAGGAAGTGCATTTTCAGACTATAATTCAAGATTACCAAGGCAAACTATATTTTTTTCTTAATGACTTGTACTGATCACCACAAAACTAGCAATATGAGCTAACAAAATCAATATGGCTAGTGTACTTTATTAACACCTTGCTATTTCTCAGGCGAGTGAAATTGCCAATGAAACTGGCAACAGAGCAGCATCTTATCATGTTGCACGGCAATACGAGGGACAGGATGAAATCAGCCAATCGGTGCACTTCTATACACGCGCACAAGCCTATAATAACGCCATACGACTGTGTAAAGAGAACAACCTGGATGACCAGCTTATGAATCTGGCGCTGCTTAGCAATCCAGAGGACATGATCGACACGGCCATGTATTATGAAGAGAAAGGAACGCATATGGACCGAGCTGTTATGCTTTATCATAAGGTACATCTAAATACATGCTGTGTTGATGTTTAACACTAGGTGGTGCTGTTTGCTTGAATAACACCATTCTGCTTCTCCAGGCAGGACATGTCTCCAAGGCTCTGGAACTAGCTTTTGCAACTGAACAGTTTGGAGCCCTGCAGCTGATCGCAGAGGACCTGAATGAAGCCAGCGACCCTGCATTATTAGCACGCTGCTCGGATTTCTTCATAAAACACGCTCAGTACCAGAAAGCTGTGGAATTGCTGGTGGCTGCCAAAAAGGTGAACATGCAACACAAACCGCCTCATATAACATCGGTTCATGTCACTGTTATTATCATTTCGCTTTTAATAAATTATTTTCTATTTATATATATATATATATATATATATATATATATATATATATATATATATATATATATATATATATTTTATTTATTTTTTTTTTTCTGTACATTTTACGTTAGTTTTAGCTTGTTTCGTTAATGGTTTTGTTAGTTTTAGTTTAGTTTTTGTTTTGTGGACACATTTCTATTTATTTATTTATTTTTGGAATTTAGTTTACATACAGATAAAAACGTTTTTGGCGACACGGTGGCTCTGTATTTGGCACTGTTGCCTCACAGCAAGATCAACAATTTGATTCCAGGCTGGGCCGGTTGGCATTTCTGTGTGGAGTTTGCATGTTCTCCCTGTGTTAGCGTGGGTTTCCTCCGGGTGCTCCGGTTTCCTCCACAGACCAAACACATGCGCTATAGGTGAATTGGGAAGGTTGAATTGTCCACAATGTATGAGTGTGAATGAGTGTGCATGGATGTTTGCCAGTGATGGATTGCAGCTGCAAGGGCATTTGCTGCGGAAACATATCCTGCATAAGTTGGCGGTTCATTCCGCTGTGGTGAGTCCAAATTAATAAAGGGACTAAGCCAAAAAGAAAATAATTAATTGAATGATCTTTGGGGAAACAAATTTTTGTAACTGTAAATATAATATCCAGCACAGAATTTCGATTTAGTTTTTATGAATATATTCATTTATTTATTATGTATTTCTGTTTTATTTTTAGTCATTTTAGTTTATCAGAGTTAACAGAACGCATTCAGTGTTGACCAGAGCAAAGTTTAGTGTTTGCACAGCTTACAGTTGCTCTTGTGCAAATCTCTTAGTAATAAAAATAAAATAATTGTTCGAGTAAACGCTGAATCTAAGACCAACAAATGAAAGGTAAAGAGAGTTGTGGAGAATTCTGATAAACATTCATTCACTCATTGTCCTTCGGCTTAGTCCCTTATTTATCAGGGGTCTCCACAGTGGAATGAACCGCCAGCATATGTTTTACGCAGCGGATGCCAGCCGTATATTTAGTTTACTTTTTTTTTTAATTGCAAATGAAGAAAAGAGAACACATTTTATGTTGATATATAAAATATATTTTTGTGTATAACCTTGAACCTGACTGATTCATTTGGCTGTAAAAGCACAATTACAGGTACAAAATGCGAACTTATTATATCTGAAAACCATGACTTATTTTAACGTCATTTTTTGTTTTATTTTTCGCTATTTTTTCAGTGAATGCTTGTTAGTTTTGTTTACTTTTTAGTTTTTAATTTATTGTCAATTTTCCATTTAACAACTAACTTAAATAACTTTCCATAATATCTACATATGCAAACCTTTTTAAATGTTTTGTAAGTTTACGCTTATGAATCTGTGTTTGTAGTACCATGAGGCGCTCCAGTTGTGTTTGGACCAGAGTTTGACCATCACAGAAGATCTGGCTGAAAGTCTGACAGTGCCGAAAGACTCAACTCTTCTGTCTGAGGCCGGGAGGAAAGAGCTGCTGGAGAAAATCGCAGACTGTTGCATGCGACAGGGAAACTACCACCTAGCCACAAAGAAATACACACAAGCTGGAAACAAGATCAAGGTTTGAAAAAATCAACAGCTTAATCAGTCATTTATTTTGTCCTGGCAGATACTTGATTTTCATTGGTCAATCACTGTATTTTTTATCTTTGATGCAAAACAGTGGAATTAAATTGATCCCATCTTTACCACACACAACTGCTAGTTTCATGTAATTACACGCTCTTTAATTTCTTCTCAGATTAACCCTATAAATCATAATCTATGGGAGTTTTATACATGACATTTTAAGGACTCTTAATGATCAGACTTTACTAAAAAACCTATACAGAGTGTACTATATTTTAAGGAACATTCATTTGTTCATCTCTCAGTCATTATTGTGTTGCATTGAATTAGTATTCAAAATATGTTTGAATATACCAGGAGATATACACTTACCGGCCACTTTATTAGGTACACCTTACTAGTACCAGGTTGGACCTCATTTTACCTTCAGAACTGCCTAAATCTTTCATGGCATAGATTCAACAAGGTACTGGAAATATTCCCCAGAGTTTTTATTCCATAATGACATGATAGCATCACACAGTTGCTGCAGATTTGTTAGCTACGCATCCATGATGCAAATCTCCCGTTCCACCACATCCCAAAAGTGCTCTATTGGATTGAGTTCGGGTGGCTGTGGAGGCCATTTGAGTACAATGAACTCATGTCATGTTCAAGAAACCAGTCTGAGATGATTCATGCTTTATTCAATTGGTACTAATAGCCCCAAAGTGGCCAAGAAAATATCCCCCATGCCATTACACCACCACCACCACCAGCCTTAACCGTTGATACAAGGCAGGATGGATCCATGCTTTCATGTTGTTAACGCCAAATTCTGACCCGACCATCTGAATGTGGGAGCAGAAATGGAGACTTATCAGACCAGACAACATTTCTCCAATCTTCTATTGTCCAGTTTTGGTGAGTCTGTGTGAATTGTAACCTCAGTTTCCTGTTCTTAGCTGTCAGGAGTGGCACCCGGTGTGGTCTTCTGCTGCTGTAGCCCATCCACCTCAAGGTTGGACGTGTTGTGCCCTCAGAGATGCTCTACTCGGTTGTAACGAGTGCTTATTTGAGTTACTGTTGCCTTTCTATCAGCTGGAACAAGTCTGGCCATTCTCCTCTGGCATCAACAAGGCATTTGACCCCACAGAACTGCCGCTCACTGGATATTTCCTCTTTTTCTGACCATTCTCTGTAAACCCGAGAGATGGCTGTGCGTGAAAATCCCAGTAGATCAGCAGTTTCTGAAATACTCAGACCAGCCCATCTGACACCAACAACCATCCCACATTCAAAGTCACTTAAATCCCCTTTCTTCCTCATTCTGATTCTCGGTTTGAACTGCAGCAGATCGTCTTGACCATGTCTACTTGCCTAAATGCAAAAGACATTTGCGTTAACAAGCAGTTGGACAGGTGTACCTAATAAAGTGGCCGGTGAGTGTAGAGTGACAACTATTGTTTAAATGCATTTTAAGTCCTCTAAACATCTTAAAAGTTATAAAGATCTTCATTATGTACATTACAGGCTATCAGAAAAAAAATTCTCTCCACCTGAAACCTTTTCGCCTTCCTCTTCTAAAAGCAAAGATATCAAGGTGTTCTTTTCCATTCTTGTTTTTGACAGGCGATGCGAGCGCTGCTGAAATCAGGAGATACAGAGAAAATAGTCTTTTTCGCTGGTGTTTCCAGACAGAAGGAGATTTATGTAATGGCAGCCAATTACCTGCAGTCACTGGACTGGAGGAACGACGCGGAGATCATGAAGAACATCATTAGCTTTTACACAAAAGGACGGGCGCTCGAGCTGCTCGCTGGTTTCTATGAGGCCTGTGCCGAGGTATGCTGAGAGCACCCCACAGCACTCTTAAAAGTCATACAGGACTCAATATCTCAGTTATGCTTAAATGCAGTCTGTGGTGTATGTGCACAGGTGGAAATTGACGATTATCAGAATTATGAGAAGGCGTACGGCGCTCTGACTGAGGCATGTAAATGTTTAACCAAAGCAAAAGGGCGCAGTGGAGAAGAAGCTGACGGCAAGCTGCTCATACTGACTCACAGACTCGGACTTATCAAGAGGTTCATTCAGGCACGAAGGTAATGGTGAAATATGAACGGTTTATTCATGTGGTATGTTACATCTGTGCATACAACTCTAGAGGTGAGAATACACAGGGCAGGTTTTTGAGTAATGCTGCAGGGCAATAATGTAGTCAGTAGGCAACCAGGTGAGACATTGGGTTACTTATCAGAGGAACTAGATCTACATACAATTCATTCATTCATTTTCTATTCAGCTCAGACCCTTTATTAAGCTAGGATCGCCACAGTATAATAAACCGCCAACTCATCCAGCTTATGCCCTTTCAGCTGCAACCCATCTCTGGGAAACATCCATTCACACTCATACACTAGGGACAATTTAGCTTACCCAATTCACCTGTTCCACATGTCTTTGGACTGTGGGGAAAACCGGAGCACCCGGAGGAAACCCACGCCAACACGGGGAGAACATGCAAACTAGAGTTGGGCTGATAGACGATGCCATCTATCGCTGATGGCCAATAGACAACACGATGCTGAGCTGGCATCGCCGATCCTCAAACCCGCTCGCGAAAAATACACACTTTGACCTCGTTTACACTAATGCGTCTTAGTTTTAAAATGGCATTTAAGAACGAAAATGAGCCACATCCACACCATGTTTAACCTAGCATTTCTGACTAGCGCTCCGACCGCTGAAAACGCACATCACGTGACCACACTTGTACTTAGTAATTTTAGTGAAAACCTCAGATACTGTTAATTGTGCAATTTTATTACAGACCAACCTCCCGCGGAAAAATTGATTGACAGGTGGTAATTTGTGTGCAATTTATCTTTATTGATTTATGATTTTATTATGGGTAAAACAAAGAGCATGCGCGTCAGGTAGTTGAAACTGTAGGCTACAAATAATTCATTCATTATGAATTAATTCATTAGTCATAAATAAATAATTCACCTCCGCCTATGAGGACGATGCCATCGTCCATCGCGAAGTTTCACATTAAGCATCGTACGATGCCAAATTGGTCGACATCACCCAACCCTAATGCAAACTCCATACAGAAACGCCAACTGACCTAGCCGAGGCTCGAACCGGGGAACTTCTTGCTGTGAGGCGACAGCACTACTTACTGCACCACCGTGTCACCATCTAAATAAAATTTTATTGCTTAATCACAATGAAAAAGTCAGCGCAGTGGCGCAGTAGGTAGTGCTGTCGCCTCACAGCAAAAAGGTCGCTGGTTCGAACCTTGGCTCAGTTGGCGTTTCTGTGTGGAGTTTGCATGTTCTCCCTGCGTTTGCGTGGGTTTCCTCCGGGTGCTGTGGTTTCCCCCACAGTCCAAAGACATGCGGTACAGGTGAATTGGGTAGGCTAAATTGTCCGCAGTGTATGAGTGTGTGTGTGAATGTGTGTGTGTGTTTGTTTCCCAGAGATGGGTTGCGGCTGGAAGGGCATCCGCTGCGTAAAAATGTGCTGGATAAGTTGGCGGTTCATTCTGCTGTGGTGACCCCGGATTAATAAAGGGACTAAGCCGACAAGAAAATGAATGAATGAATGAATGACAATGAGAAAGTGCCCCAGCAACATTGCTCTAAAAGTTGCACCGTGTATCATCACCTTAAAGCTGCAGTATGTAGGATTAATCATTGCAATCCAAATTGAAAATATTAAGGAGGGTTTTTTCACACATCCTCTTCCCAGGGGACTCGATGCACATGCACATGACAAGACAAACACTGCTTTGCTCATATTTACCTTTGAAATCTTTGTATTAATTGCTCATTAAAAACCACCTCATGGATTGTTGTAACTCTGAATCTGCAGAGGCTTACACTGTTCTCCGAAGGTCATACGACCAGCTGCGCCACATACATTAAGGCAGCCTTTATGCCTGAAATGAAATGTCATATAACTGAAATATAATTGGGTGAACTGGCTGTGGGCGGAACTACACGGACCAAAACAAAGACAGACATTCCGACACTGAGCGCATTTTCAGAGCAGAATAACTGACTTAAGCATTGTTTTTCAGATAAAATACCATTCTCACTTAGCATGTTTATTAAATATCTGCAAACATATCATGGTATTTTAATGCTTTAGAAGGTTCAAAACCTTGCATACAGTACCTTTAAGTGTATTTATGTAATTTTAGAATGCATGAGGAGGATCCAGTAGAAGCAGTGCGTTTGTGCGAGTCTCTGCTGGAAGAGAAGGATCTGGATCTGGCAGTGCGTGTTGGAGATGTGTTCGGCTTCCTGGTGGAACACTACTGCCATCATGGCAACTTCACGCAGGTCTCTATATAATCCTAGCATGTTCTTTTTTTGTTGTTGTTGTTGTTGTCAGAATCTGTGTGCATTTGTTTTTTAAAGTATAACAAGTGGTCTCACCCTTATTAAAGATGTAGATGACTACATCAACACTGTGGGTTTATGTTAAAATTAGGACATATAGGAAAATATGTGCTTAAAAGCTTATTAATATATCCCATAAAGTTTAAAAATAAAGTCAATCTGAGCACAGATTGTGGCTATTAAACCACATGTACATTTACACTAAAGAAGTGATCTAGTCGACCCCTTCTGGAGGTGTTTGGAGGTCGACAAGCCTGTACATCACATTAACTACCTATCCATCAAGCAATTAAATTTTTAAAAGACATCTAATAGACATACAAACTTGAGCTGCGTCCCAAATTGCATACTTGTGCACTATTCTACGCCATTTTGCAGTATAAAAAGTAGTGCGTTCACACTGAAAACTCTAAAAATAGTAAGAGCACTTTAATTACCCGGATGATGCACTCATTCAGCCGCTAAAATTAAGTGTGTAATGATGGTCACTACACGCACTCAACGACCACAGGTTTGCTTACGTAGCGGAAGGGGCAGAGCTATCGGGCGCACATATTGGATAACTTTATTTATTTTGGAATGAAAGCTAATTTCTCCTACGAGAGTGATTATAGCGCCTCCCGTTGGTGAATGCGGTTGTACTCACGGCAGGTGTTATTTGATAGTTTGCTCATTTATTTTACTGATTTGGCAACCGTCATCAGGGAAACGGTTTAAATTTCCGCTTAGTAAAAAAACATTAGTGTGCCATTTGGAACGCCACTAAATACATATACTATCCTGTTGAGTGTGTAAGTGCATAAGTACATAGTGCATAGTGTGCCATTTGGGACGCAGCTCGATGTCTTGACTCGAGTAAAGCTAAATTAGGTCTGTTGGCAAAAATGTAGTAGATGTCTAACAATAGTCCAAAACTAGACTAGTCATCAAATAGACAGATTACGGTAGACAGACTTCACTCGCGCAGTCATTCATCCCTAGGTATTTGATGGCTAGTCTGTTTTTAGACTATTGTTAGATGTCTATTACATTTTATCTGGCAGCCCAAATGTGGCATTGTTTCAGCCAAGATGTCCATATTTGAATGTCTATTAGATGTATTTTAAGCACAAAAATGCTTGCTGGGTTTAAATGCATCAACAAAATCTGGAGATGTTTTCATATCTGTCTCGCTTGTAGCTTTTGTTTCAGTACCTGACTTGTTTTCTGATATGTTTTTGGGTTATTTAATCAAAGAGTCTGAAAAACCCTGAAACCTAGATTAGATGTGCTTTTCACACAGATCTATTTAAAATAAAACTATAATTAAACATTGTGATTTGTGTGTTCATCAGGCATGGAGTAAAATAGAGGAATTGAGATCAACGCATCCCAAAATAAACCTGAGCATGTATGTGAGTCAAACCAGTCTGGAGGCTTTACAAAATGCTGCTGGAATCCGCCTGGTCTACAAAGAGACCAACACTCATGCTGCTGACGATGATGAAGAGGTGGAGGAAGATGAAAACATCAATCATTGACAACAATTCCCTCAAAATACTACATACATTTCACAAAAACTAGCCTACTGAAGTCTCACTATCAAGTCTTGGTTTACTCCTCCATTTTTCTAAAATGTGCCATGTTTCTATTGGACTGCCAGTCTAGCAGATGGGATGTTTTTGGGAGATGATGTGAGATTTTGTAAAAGCCATTTTGCAGGTTGCCTTAAGTAGAGAGTAGCTTGTTTGCGAATGCCCAGAATGCATTTACATATTTGACGTGCGAGGCCTTTCAATCAAGAATAACACGGGACCACTATATTCGAGTTTTGTACAATTTACAAACTATGTAATGACCAGACTTGTTCAACAACCTTTGTATCATATATATTGTACTTATTTTAATAAATATTTTCTATGTTTATTAAATCATATTGTGTTTTGAGTGAATTTCAATAGGTCAACATCTCTTGAAGCACAATGTCCAAATGGTTTATTCATTTTATGTATGACATGTAATGTGTTTTTAGTAACTTAAATTCAGTAAATCGCGAAAACCATTACAAAGGCGTACAGATTTTGTTGTTTGTAGGTAATCATGAAGTAATCGTCGAAGTCGGTGTCCCACACAGCCTCGAAATTAGCCAGCACTGATTGGCCAGCTTTCCCGCCTGTTACGATTTGAACTACAAACCGGTAACGGTCGAATAACTTCTTCAGGAGATCCAGTATTTTCGCTCTCAAGTTCTCTGAGACTGAACGGCAGCGGTCGTGGTCGTATTTTATTCCTTCAAATTCTTCTCTGACTAGTTCTTCACACTTCTCCCGAACCAGAAAAGGCTGGAATTTGTGCAAATGTTCCAGTTCATAATTATCCGGAACAGCTTGTTCGTCGCAAGACTCCAGTTGTCCTCCGGTGTCAGCCTCCGTGTTTCTTGTGAAATTATCTGTATCGGGAATCTTTGAACGGGACATATCTGCAAACCTTTGAATATTAAATTAATTATTCTTTTATTCATTGACTAGTTAGGTTGTTTGTGAAAATATGATTAAATCTCACCTGACGTGAATAACGGTCGTCGCGCGTGTGCAGAAGTAGGCGAGGAGCGGATTTTCAAAAATTATCAAGTATGATTGAAGCGTTTGGCGATAGTGATTCCGATTCTTTTAGTGAGTCGATTCTTTTGAACATGGTTTCACTTTCGTTTAAGTTTTCAACTTCAAGTTGGCTACGGTTTACATCAAATAAGAGATTCATTTCCAGCACAATTTCAGTTAAAACTTTGACGCTGCTGGGTTTTAGTTTTCAATATTGACTTATTAGTGAATCTTATTGCACAAAAGTACTAGCAATTTATTATTTATGATTAATATTATGGTGCATAATATGCAACCAAAACGCAAGTAGTAGGCCTAGCAGAGAAGCTCATGATCAATATTTTTGTTTTATATTTTTAATTATATAAATGTATAATAATTCAACAACAACAACAAAAAAATATATACCTTGTTTAAAAAAATTTTCAGTTATTGTCACTATCTATTTATTTTTTAAATCAAATTTGATGTAACTTATTTTACTTTCATGGTGAATATTGATTAGCACGTCTAATTACTTAGCAATTATTTCCGATTTGTCTGATCTGATCGAATCTGGGATTTATGCCTGAGATGGAGCTCTCGGTCACAGTTTGCTTTTTCTCTGACAGTAAGGCTTAACAGTATTATGAACAGCCATGGAGACTCGTGTTCATGGAAACTAGACATAACACTTCTGAGTCTGACAGCTGCACAACATGGAGGACTCGAGCAAACAGAGGTCAATTAACCAACTTCACGAGCAAATTCGCTTGTTGACTAACGAAAATGTAAGATAATTTCTTGTTTTGGTGAAGGGATTAATGCTTGTACTTTTACTTAACTTTACTTATATTATACTTAATCGTTGGTTTTTTTATATAGCCAGCCTATTAAGGTTATTAGTAAAGTTATTTAGGTTTGATTTGCATTAAAATGTTAATGTATAATTGACATATGTGTTTGTGTATTGTCAAAATAGCTAAAAAAGATTTCTTGAGCAACAATTTATCATATTACAATATTGTATTTTAACAAATTGGCATTTAAATCTTAAAATTTCATAATAAAGTTGTTATTTATGCCTTTCTAATCAAATTAACACTGTCATGGCATAAATGTTTAATTCTTAGGTTAAAAGAAACCCCTGCATCAGTTTATAACATACTCAGTGTTGTGTTCATAGTGTTAACACTGATTTCCACACAGGTACAGCTGCATGAGCGAAATAAACTGCTGGTTAGTAAGCTTGACTCGGCCCAAAACAAACTGGGTCAACAGGCTGCCTCAAAGAGTGACTTGTCAGTCAAGCTGGTCCAGTGTGAGGAAGACAAACTGAAGGTACTGTAGGTGCTAAAACCAGATTAGAAATATGCCATCTACCTGTTGTTTGCATATTAAAATCCTCCACACGTTAGCTGATATCATTTCTTATTTTCTGTGTGTTTCAGATCTCAAAAGACCTTGTGGATGTGCAGATTGAGGCCAATAAAATGAGAGAGCAGTACGAAGCTGAGATCTTTGAATTAAAAAACATGGTAAACACACGCTTATGATCACTTAAAGGGGTAGTTCACCCAAAACTGAACATTTTGTCATAATTTTTATCTCCCTTTACTTGTTTTAAACCTGTTTGACTTTCTTTATACCCTGCACCTACTAGTATAAAAATATCAAAATTCTTATCTGGTAGGGCTGTACAAAAATGGACAAATCTGACATTGCGATATTTTGTTTTTCTGCAACATGACTATAATTTTACCAGGCAATTTAAACAGCTGTATTTGGAAAAATTTCATTCATTCAGATAAATTAAAATGAAGTCTTTTTCTATGTGGTTAATAAATTATAATAAACTACAAGCAAATGAAATACAAAATAAAAATAAAATAAACAGTGCTTTGTGGTTTTCTGGAGAATCTAATAGTATTCAGGTACAGTAATTGATAAAATAACATGGTCATCATTGTATTTATTACTGAAAAATAATAATATCACTATCTTTAAATCTTTAATTTCTTTCTTCCTGGCGTTGTTCCCGCTGTTGCAGGACCCGCTCTTTGGCAAAGTTTTCTTCATTTGGTCCTGTCCAGGGCATCTTCTAGGGATCTGACGATCTTCAAGTCTTCCCTAGTTCTTTCCATCCATCGTTTCTTTAATCTACCCCATGGCTGGCCTCAGTCTGGAGTAATCCCCATTACTGTTCTTGCTACAGAGTTCAAATCACTTTGATTTATGTGTGTAACGGAGGCCAGCTAGTGTGTGCTGTGCAGGTAAACCTCACTCCTCTGACCTCTAAAGGTGCTCTAGCGATGGACGCTAGAGGCCATGGTCTTTAGCCTCCTTAGTAGAGCACTCGACTCCCATGCGGATGGTTGCTGGTTTGATACCAGCTCGGAGCGGGTTTGGTGGCGTAGGACCGACGGGGTTACATTGGTGCCGTGACCCGGATGGGAGTGAGGTTTAGGGGGGTGAGTGTACCGGAGTCCAGCTAGTCTGTACTGTGCAGGTAAACCTCACTCCTCTGACCTCTAAAGGTGCTCTAGCGACAGACGCTAGAGGCTATGGTTTTTAGCCTCCTTAGTAGAGCACTCGACTCCCATGCGGAAGGTTGCCGGTTTGATACCAGCTTGGAGCAGGTTTGGTGGTGTAGGACCGACGGGGTTACATGTGCACATACTAGGGATGTCCCAATCAGGTTTTTTGCCCTTGAGTTCAAGTCATTTGATTTTGAGTATTTACCAATATCGAAACCTCATCCGATACTTCTATAATACATAAAAAAGAATAACAAACAGAGCACTTCAGTGAGGTAGCTTGAACTATCCAGTACTAAATATCATCAATTCTACACCTCTTGCAATCTCAAGTTCACATATCTCACAGTTTCTATGACAATATTGTCATCATCAACTTTTTAATACTCTTAGTCCGCAGACATACTTACCTTTCCGCTTTAAGCTGCTTCCATGTTCTACTTTGCCGTTATTTAACCAATAGTGTCTCTAGCGTTGCTGCTTCTGTGTGAAGTCAAGAAAGAGGTCTAACTCTGCCACCGCACTATAGATGTGTTAAAAATAATGAGAATGTATGCATGTATATTCAAGTCCTGATCGGGAGGTAATGTCTAATTCTGATTGAGTCTGAAATCGCTTGATCGGGCCCGATTTCCGATCATGTGATCGATCTGGACATCCCTAGTCCATACTACCTTAGGCGCGATTTCGCCTTAATGGAGGCTCATCCCATTCACTTCTGTATGTCATTGCTCATAATATGCTCCCATCTTATGATAATTAGGCTCTCAGCGGAGCATCGGCATCTCTATAGTGTTTCAGCCCTGTTCATGTGTGGTAGACGCGGACCAACTTTCAGCGCCATACAGGGCTGCTTGAGTCAGTCCAACATCCTTTTGTCGCAAAGGACGCCAGTAACCTTTCGCCATTTCAGCTAAGCTGCATTCATTCTTGCTCAGACATCGAAGGTGATGCTTCCATCACTGCTGATGACTGAGCCCAGGTAATCCAAATTCTTTTGTCTTCTTCAGCTATTCGATGTCAACTGTGATGGTGGCATCCATTTGAGGATATTCGGTACGGCTTAATCCCTTTATTCATCAGGAGTCACCACAGCGGAAGGAACCGCCAACTTATCCAGCATATATTTTACACAGCGGATGCCCTTCCAGCTGCAACCCAGTACTGGGAAACATCCACACACACTTATTCACACACACACACACACACACACACACACACACACACACACACACACTCTTATACTATGCCAGTTTAGTTTATTCAATTCAGCTATTGCACATGTGTTTGGACTGTGGGGGGAAACCCACACAAACATGGGGAGAAAATGCAAACTCCACACAGAAATGCCAACTGACTCAGTTGGGACTCAAACCATCAAACTTCTTGCTGTGAGGCGACAGTGTGCACCACTGAGCCACCATGTCACCCTCTTCATCTTTTAATCTTTAATAAATAATCTTAATTCTGCGATGTGACTATTGTGGATACACACATTGCGATATCGTTGCTCAAATGATATATTGTGCAGCCCTAATATCTGCTGTATGAATGATTTTACTTTCACTGTCTTTCTCTCTCCAGGTTTTATGTCATGAAGGAACTTCCTCGTCTCTTCAGGCAGAACGTGATCGGCTCAGACAGGAAGTGTCCGCAGCATCGGCACGTTTAGAAATCTCTGAGCGAAATGAGCATGACCTGGCCGAAGAGTTCACAGTGGTAAAGAGGAACTTCCTGTCTCTGAGAGACGCTTATGAACGAGAACGAACACAGTCTGAAGAGCTCAGTTCCGAGCTGCTGGCCCTCGCGCACACACAC